CAATGAACTGGTTGTCGGAATGGATATTCTGGAAAAGATTGTAGAATGGACCAATATGCCTGCTTTTGCAAAATACCGCCAAAAGACAGTCTCCGCCTCCACCGCCAATGCGCATCCGGAAACCCTATCTTGGTGCATTATCGACACCACGTCCAATACCCAAGCAGCTTTTGTTCATGAAAACCGTACTACGACTGCCTCCGATGACTCAGCCATGTCAGTACGTATCAGATCTGGCGATACCATAAAAAATTGTGTTGATATAAAGTCAGATGAATTAGAATTTGTAAAGCAGTGTCAGGAACACTTTTCTGTCATTAAGAACCAGTTGCTGTGACCTTTCTGCTTGCAAAAATGCCTCGCATAGCTGCTGATGCTGCTGCTGATTCAATTGATTCTAATAATGATAACGATACTAATGCTGCTAATGACGACGATGTTACGGAAAACCCGCTTCATATAAAGAACTTTTTTGTGTTGAAACCGATAAATGATTTTTACAACCGCCGTTATCAGATGACGTGTAAAAGATTTGCTTGCAAAGTTCATCACCTCAATCATATTCCTTTCGCTGAGATTCCCGATGTCATAACAGCCATTTTGAACGAAATTTTAAATGAAATCCTTACTGACATCCCAGATCACGAACGAGTAAGAATCAAGTTGCATAGCCGTCACCTCTCGTACCCTATTCACACACCTTTTATTCGTCGTGATCAGTTAACCGTTGCGCGACTGATGAAAGAAGTTTCCCGCGTACTCAATTCGAACCAAGAATTTGTACTGGATGATTCTTTTGAGCTGGAAATTCACCATTCCAACCTTCCCGCTGGATCCTGTCGATACGATGTTCCTTTATTATTGCGCAAAAAGCTGGAGACCATGAGGAGCGTAATACCTGTTCGTAATTCAGACAACCTCTGTCTGCCTCGTGCGCTTGTTATAGCTAAGGCCCTCGCAGATGATAATATACCGCTGTATAAACGCTTGTATCGCACCAAAGGACTCTGTACGGCTTCCGACAGAACGCTGCAGACAAAAATGGCAAAGGAACTCGTTGCTAACGCAGGACTGGATCTTCGACAATATACTTTGGAAGACGTTCAACAGTTTCAAATGGCCTTACCGGACTACCAAATCCTGATAACGAGTGTCGACCACCTCAATACGATTGTCTATGCCGGCGAATATGCCTAAAAAAAGATTCGTCTGCTACATCATAATAACCATTTTGATGTCTTGAAAAGCCTGCCGGCTTGGTTCAAAACATCGTACTGGTGCGACCGTTGCAGTCACGGATACGATCATGAAAATCGCCATCGATGCCAATACCGTTGCAAACAATGCCTGCGATTCGAATGTAATCCTGGAGAAGAAAGAATATACTGTTCGGACTGCTGCCGAACATTTTACGGTGAAGTGTTTCAATCATCACCGCGCTGCTGGCTCGGGAGAAAACGGGATTACGGTATGTCAAACGCTTTTTTGTCTGTTCATCTTGCCAATCATTTGTCTCCAGAGCTTTTCGTACCACGGACCACGTGTGCGGTGAGATTTACACGTATTGCACCGTTGGTCACGGATCGATCATAAGCCATCGATGCCAATACCGTGCAAACAATGCCTGCGATTCGAATGTAATCCTGAGCTACTGTTCGGACTGCTGCCGAACATACGGTGAAGTGTTTCATCGCGCTGCTGGCTCGGGAGAAAACGGGATTACGGTATGTCAAACGTCTGCATCTGCCAACATTTGTCTCCAGAGCTTTTCGTACCACGGACCACGTGTGCGAGATCTTTGTGCAAAGAACACGTAGCAAATGACCATGTTTGACATTTCCTGATTTCGATCTCAAGCACGAACAGGCCCAGTTTATTTCGATTTTGAGATTCGGAAACGGGCAATTTTATTCCGAACCTGGCCGTTATCCAAAACGACAACGGCCAGGAATGGATTTTTCCTGCCGACTCGTCCGATATCGGCCGGGATATAACAACAGAATTTTGCGAGTTTTTGTTTTCCGGATCATTTAAAAACTTTTATGTCTTGGCCCACAACCTTCGGGCGTTCGACGGTTTTTTTTGTTCTGAAATGGTTACAAAAAATGGGATAGTTCCAAAGCTCATAATGAACGGCTCAAAATTATGCAACTGGATGTACCTGAATTTGGCATAAAATTTCGTGATACTTTGAATTACAATCCCCAATCGCTCGACGCTTGGGCTCAAGCGTTTGGAGCGACAGAGCAAAAAGGTAAATTCCCTCATCTCGTCAATCGCCCAGAAAATTTTGGCAAAATTATTCCCTATCCTAAGCGGGAGGATTTCAACTATAGCTTGATGAATAACAAAGAAAGAAAAGACTTTATCAAAGGATTTTATCGAAAAGATCGAAGAAAGAAGAAAGGGAAGTACAATGTCAACGAGGAGCTCGTCAAATGCTGCAAACAGGATGTTAACACTTTACGCGTCTGCTCTCAAGAATTCCGAAAGTTGTTCATGGGTATTTCAGGCGGGCTTTGCCCATTTACTTCCGCGCTAACAATTGCAGGTATATGCCATTTTTTCTGGCGCGCAAGGATATTGGAAAAAAACCTTATTGCTATTGTAAAAAACCCTAGTCAGCGCATGCAATCAGTCAAATGTGGTAAATGGTTGTGCTACATTGAAATGACGGAAGGCAAAGCACTTGTAAGGGAACAGAAGATTGGAAAATTTTACGTGGACGGCTATGACGAAGAAGCGGAAATTATTTACGAATTCTATGGCGACTTCTGGCACGGCAACCCCGCAACCACGAAACGCAATTTTGTAAATCCCCATCTCAAGCAAACGATGGAGGATTTGCATGCGGCAACCGTCCAACGGGAAATCGCCCTTGAGCAAATGGGATACTCTGTTATTAAAATTTGGGAAAGCGAGTACGATCAGAAATTGGTAGACGATGAGGATTTTCGTGAAACAATAAAAGATATTCATGTTCACGCACCTCTTCAACCCCGCGATGCTCTATATGGCGGCCGGACCAACGGGACACGGTTGCATTATAAATGCGAGCCCGGAGAACAAATACGGTACAACTAGTTAAGTAAAGATTATAATTTCAATTTTAATGGGAGGTGTTTTTTTAGGTTTGCCGATGTCATTTCGGAATATCCCTGTGAATTCTTGGGAAAAGATATCCAGTTGGCCCACACGTGCGAATTACTGCGGACTTTGATCCAAACTTGGAAAATTATTTTGGACTATTTTACCTGACCATTCTACCACCCAAAAGTCTATGGTTACCTGTTCTACCTTACCGTACCGAAAAATTAACTTTTCCGCTATGCCGGCTATGTGCTGAGACCCAGCAAAATTCTAGCTGTCAGCACACAGACGCCGAAAGATCACTTACGGGCGTCTGGTGCTCTGTGGAAATCATTAAGGTACTATCCCTGGGATATACGGTGGTAAAAGTCTAAGAAATTTGGCATTTTCCGAGTTCTCGCGAAGGTTTATTTAAAGAGTACATCCAGCATTTCTTGAAATTAAAAACGGAAGCCAGCGGTTGGCCTTCTAATGTTAAAACAGAAGAAGAGAAAAAGCAGTATATGGAAGAATTTTTACTTCGAGAAGGTGCATCTATTGACGCCGAGAAAGTGGAAAAAAACCTGGGGCTTCGCGCCCTTGCAAATTTATTTTTTAACAAGTATGTCTTCTGTTTCATTAGGTATACATTAGCTGAAATTGCTTAACGTTTCTATTCTCTTTGTAGTTTTTGGGGCCGACTCGGGATGCGCGAGGATAGATTGTCTACACAGTTCATTTCCGAGCCCAGAGATTTTTACGAACTTTTATTAAATGATGCGTTGGAAATTCACAATATCGAATTCTTCAGTGACACCGTTATTCAAGTTGCGTACAAGTCCAAGGAAGACTTTATTCCAGTTAACCCAAAGACTAATGTTATCCTTGCAGCGTAAGTGTAAATTAAATATAATAAATATGTTCTTTTCAAAAATATTTATTGGTTGGATGATTTAGGTTCACGACGGCCCATGCCCGCCTTCACTTATACAATTATATGGCTCAAGTTGGACGTAACCTGATATATTTTGATACTGATTCCTTAATGTGGATTCATCGGCAAGGAGATCCTGAAGTTCCATTGGGAAACTACATGGGGGACTTAACAAACGAACTAAATGATGGTGAATTCATCACAGAGGTCACCGTCTGCGCTCCTAAATCTGATGCTTATGTGACGAACAAAGGAAAGCATGTCTGCAAAGTTAAAGGTTTTACACTCAATCGAACTATCAAGAAAACACTTAATTTAAATACTTTCACTTCACTCTGGACGACCCCTGGACCTCAAGTGTACCCCTTACGGTATTCTTCCGTGATACGGCGTAATAAACGGACCCTTGAAATTGATGCTGTGGACCAGGTAAAGCGCTTCAAGCTTACCCATGATAAACGAAGGATACTGCCGGACTTGACGACGCCCCCGTTCGGGTACGTCGACGAAAATAACGTTCCTGTTTGATTTTTATTAAGCCCTTGCTGCTGCTGCTGTTGTTGTTGCTGTATTGTCGCTATTGCGATAGGCAGAATAATATCGCCTACTAGAATTATTATCACCAGGATAATTATACAAGCCGCAGCAAGCGCTGTGAGAGCTGGCTTGTGTTTTTTTTGCTGCTCCATTTTTGCAAATAACTCTGGCACGACATCACTGGCGGTTCTGCTGACTGATGACTTAAATAGTATCGATGTCTTTGAACTATTAAATATATTTGATTTTACTGTCTTTTTATTTTGCTTACACTTAAAATAAAATAAAGATAAACAGATGCAAGACTTGGTTGATTTGGTTGTACAGCAGATTGAATATTATTCAGTAGCAGTATATACGTGATAAATTTTGAAAACCGAAATTGATTATCATGAAAAGTAAAAATTATGCTATAGAAAAATGTTTTGCTTCACTGAATATTTTTACGAAATCAGCTTACTCTGTTGGTCCCATTTTCCGCTTTGACCTTTGCTCCTGCTCAGCCATATAGACTTATGTTGTGATGCTAGCACAGTCGTAATGTCAGCCTGCAAATGGTTACACTGATATTTACAGCAGATATAACTGATCAATTGCTATAATACATTAAAATTATAATAAATTATTCAAATAGTTGACAAACGATTATTTAAGGTGAATTTTACTTTGGCGCTTGATATAGCCGCAGTCCGTTGTAATTGTGGTAAATTATCTGCAATTAAGACAGTTTAATGATACTAAAAATAAAATGCGGTAAACTAAAGGTATAGCATTAATTCGGATGTAACAATATTAATATTATGCTAGGAAAACAGAATAATTTGGTTCCGAATATTAAATTGTACCGTCGTAGACGTTTACGCAGTGCTGTGTGTTTGTGGCTAGATGATGTTCCTAATAGTATCGCTATCCCGCATGTAATAACCTGTAAACACATAATTTCAGTCATCAGTTGCATTCGGACTCATAAAGTAGCTATATAATAATGTTCAATAAAAATTAACAAGTCTTATAGTATGAAACAGAGAGCAAAAAGATTAAAAAAGTTGATTTTTTAGGCAGAAAGAAAAATTTCGTCTAGATCAGTGTTGAAAATTTTCCGATAGAGCCAGGGCAAACTGTACAAGTCCCGAAACTGTTTACTGGATTACAAAATCCTAATTCTGCACAAGTACAACAAAATAGAAAGTATTTAGTGCAAGCCTTCGGAGTATTAGGTAAAAAAGTTAATTAGTACATAGTAATTAGACAAGGAACTTACGGTGGAGTTCGTGCGGAAAAATGCGTAGTGCCACCAGGAACTTTTTCTGGCCACAGACGTACACGCACACGCTAAACAGACGCCTAAAAGGAAGAAACGATATCACAATGGAACGGCCAGCTAGATCACAAACATCACCATTATACTTCATTCACAAGCATATACAACTCATTTTGTACGTACCTGTTAAATTTTCTAACGTTTAAGCGTAAAATTAGAGATATTGTATTTTAGGGAGAATCGCAATCGAAAACGTATGCATTCCAATGCGATTGTTCAACAGAAAGTGATGGAACATCACGTTCCATCGTGTTGACAGTTAAAGATTTTCTAACCTCATAAGTCTGTGCTAGTGAGAATGAATTCAGTCAGTCATCTCCAGTCTGCAACTTCAAGATTTCCAACAACATGGCCAGCCAGCAAAGCAACGAGATTTCATCCACCATTCCGGAGGACAGCGATCTTCCAGAAGAAATCCGCAGATTGAATCTGGATGCGGACACCATCGCGTTTTTGCGTCGTAGCGCTCAGCAGGCAAATTGTAAGTCGTGTTTATAAATTTTCTTAGCTTTTAGGTAATTAAATCATTTTTTAGTGCCTTTGGCATTTTTTGCCTCTAAAATTACGCCCCAGATGCATGAAGAAATGAAACAGGCGGCCAAATGGGCCGACTTGGACGACGATCTTTACCATAAAAGCAGTTTTGAAAATATCCAGTGTTTTGGCTTTGCCAAATTAAACTAGATATATGAAATAGGATGGCAAAGAAATTGTATATAACATTCAAAATGTCCAATAAAATCTCGGGCGCAGTGTGGCTTTGTAACGCATATAGGTAGCGGTACAAACAGGGGCGTTATAGGTAACAGTACAACCAGGGCTGCGCAGCGAGGGGGGCAAAGGGGTGAGGAACCGAGGAATGGCAGGAAGCTGGGCTGCGGAGGCGCGGGGTTGTGACGGACGCAGAGCTGTAGTATGCGGCTGTGACAGATGCAGGGCTGTAATGGACGCGGGGCTGAGAAATTTGCAGGCCACAACAACGGACGATGGGGAATAACGACAAAAGCAGAGACGACAGACCGAGGAGGATTTTAGGATAGGCCACGCTGAATGCGACAGTAGACAGGGTTAAAGACGGAAGACGTTGGACTGGCGGACTCACAGGTAAGCCTAGTGCAGACTAATAAATGATTTTGCTTAATTCAGCATTTTTTCTGTACTTTTCCCCGTATTTTTCTGTATTCTTTATTCTGACGGCAGTCTGTATGGCACTAAGAATTTCACAGAAATCTGCTCAATTTTCTTGGTTTAATTTTTAATTTACTTGTATTCGATTCCTTTCTATATCGGCCCGCGAGTTGGTTGATTGACTGGGCCATCCGAGGAATTTCCCGATGGACAGAATTAGGATGATGGCTTTGATCAGTATGGGAAAACGGAGGATGACTTGGAGGCCGCGCTGTTCAACATTCAGAATGCTCCTTCAAATGCGTGTCACCGATCGACTGGGTTTTCATTCCCACAGCCGGAGTACTCGATTTTCCGACGGTGCGGACAATGTACTGGATGTCACTGTGGACCGCCAGCGGAATGGAGGATCGGTGCGCTTTGGTGATGATGCTGGCAGTAGTTTTGTACAGCCAGCGCCCACAGTGCGAAGTGTTTTACCAAGGATTACGCGTCATACAAATATTTTACGAATCGCCCTGCTTATTTAATATTTGCTGTTTAGCATTGAGGCACCAATTTCTAGAAGTACTTACTTAAATGATTTAATAATTTATTTGTGCTGCTTCTTTGTAATCAATAGATTGCAGTTGCCATTAAAAGCGAAATTATCATCAGTTTCAGTGCAGTTTTCTTCTGTTTTATTCTCGTTTTATCGGTTAAGCATACGAATACTGCATTGATTACAGTTCACAGAAAGTTTTAATATTTGCATATACTCTGGCCGATGAACTGTAACATTGGTGCTTATTCTATATTTTGTTTTGTTTTTGTAACTTTTTTTATTTTGTTTTCTGTTGTGTCACGACTGAGGCCGTTATTGTGCTGCGGCGTTAGGGATTTACAGTTTAAACAATCCAATAAAATTAATGGGAGAAAAAATGTTGAAGTTGCTTAATATCATCTACAAGTGTAATACCTATAATTTGCAATAATACAGCAGTTCTGCTTTAAAATGGTCGTTTATTTCGTGCACGTTGTTTTGCACCGTGTGCGCCATCAGTTTTCCTAAGTTGGCTGTCGAACCGTTCTTACCTACGACTGCGATGCCGACACGTTGCTTCGATCATTTATTTGCCTAGATGCATTGAAATGCTGATTTTAAACGTGCCGAACTATATCGTAGCCGGAAATCAAAGTTGACATAACACTGATAGCAGTTCTCATGCGTGCTTCTTCTGCTTGACAGATCTTCGTCATAAAATCAATGCCCAACATAAACCGGACGATCTGCGTAGCCATCTGAACCACATGCCCCATGAGAATGCAAAAGTTTCGCTGGAGGATACCGCGACGGCGGTGCGCCGGGTGAATGCCGACATCGCCAACGCACCACTGCTAGATGAGCCAACAAACAGCCACGGCTTTCGTCCCATTAAAAATAACGTGGCGTTCCCGGATGAGGAGCGTCACATTCGGATACAGGACAATCCAGATTCCCCGGCTAGTATCAACATGGGGGAAGGCGGCGAAGCAGACGATTAAGTTGACCATGATCAACCGGCTGGGACCTGTACCCAACGCCTACGTCCAACGCACCGAGCAGTCCTCCGCTCCGTGAGGATGGAAGCGACACGCTGCAAAATCGCCCGAAGCCGTTGGTTTTGCGCCAGTTTTACGGCCGCCCGCCGAATTTATTTGTTTATAATTTGTTTGTATTTTTTTATTTTTTTTATATTATGACGTCAATAACTGCAGTCAGAGTCCAGTGGATAACTGGAATACAAAATCGCTTTGCGGGACGCCCTTTACTGGTAACCTCTTTGGCGGTCGAATAGAACTGACCATACGAACACGTATTAAATCCGAAAA